AATTGCTTTATGTCTGTTAGACATTGTACTATTACAATGTTATGTCTTACATAACATTTGAGTGTCTGAAGTCAAATAAAGTAATAGATAGCAAAGTAATCTGTCAATAATTAAATCATTTCTTTAATTTATTTTACAATGAATCAGTTTCTCTTTTCTAATTTAATGATATGGTTGAAAAGACTATCACTTTCCACAATTTAAAAAAATGAAAAACAGAAAGTTTTGCTGAAAATTATGAGCAAAAAGAAAATGAAAGAAAATGCATGAAATTTAATAAAATTCAAATAATTTCTTCACATTCACACTGATCATTCATTCATTAAATTTTTATCGCTTTGAAATGATAAGTTTATCAGTATTAGACATTCCAGAAGTTACCTTTATACCTTCCTTGCTTTTTGCATGAGTTAAGACTAAAAATCTACTAATTCATTGATATCTCTGTAAATTATCATGACTGCTGTGAAGTTATGTGTTGCTCCACAAAATATGTTTTATAAGCATTTTTTATTTTGAAATTCATTTTCGTTTTGCTAATTCATATATTACGCCTCGTTTGTTTATCAATTGATTTACATTACAAAGAAGTTACAGGAGAAAGCAGATAGTATGATAATGTTAGCAACAATTCACCCATACAGCAACAACAACAACAACAGCAACAACAACGGCAGCAGCAATAACACTTCAGACACTGATAAGCATATTATGAAAATTACTGATGTCACTGATCAGGTGTTCACATTTTTTCACACGGTTTTATTCTGGATCATTTTGATAACCTTTGCTTTGCTGCATACTAATCTTAACTAATTGTTTAGTTTAATCGACTAGGCAATAAATCATTCCGCTATAAATCGAAAAATTTGAAGCACTCTTGATTTGAATCACATCAATTGTTTACTTGATTTCACTTAGATATCGGATCGCGTGATGATTAAGTAGAATAATTTAACTGACAAAACACGAAATGAATTGAAAAAAAATAAGCTCATTGTAGTATTTGGAAGAGAAGGATAATGAAATTCAAGAGGGTAGCCTGGTTGAATATTGTCGCATAGATCACCATGAAAATGCCAGATGTCAACCGCAAATATACTTAGCCGATAAAATTGTCAAAATTACTCCCTTAGAATACGAGAATTTCATCAAAGCGGTATGTCATTATATTATTTTAGCATCAAACGATCACAATAAATACATTATTTGTTTCTGACCTCTGAAAACTAAAAAAAAAAAACAAATATGAACTTTTATGCAAATTTGATTATTTCAATTCTGCTATAATCAATTACAGTTTTTTGCTTACTTTGTTGAAACAATAAAGTTAATTTTTTCCTCCTTCATTAAATAGATTTATAAAAAATATACAAAATGTTATTATTTGTTGTTATGGTGGCACAATTTTCTTCATTTTTCAGCAACAGATATATCAATTACACTTCATTTTTAGCTTCAAAAAAAAAATAAATGATTTAAATGCGTCTGATAATAAATAAATGATATCTGATATAAATAAATGATCTGATAATAAATGATATGAATATTGATGTTAATGATAGGTAATGATTACTTTGAGCATTTCTATTTTATGATATCTCAATGTTGATAGCTCGAATAAAAGATATGTTATAGAAATAATGAAATAGAATGATCTTTTTGATGGAAGTAGAGAAAAGGAAAAAATTGTTTTGCTAATGAAAGAACAATTTGTCATTCAAATAGTTATTTTATATATAATTTTTGAGATTCAAAACTCTCGTAAAATATCCTTTATTAATAATTAGCTTAACTTAAAGTCTTTTTCTTAATTGATAAAATAACTTTTAGATTATTATTTTTGCTCATTCATTCTAATTTAAAGATATCTTTTAAAATGATATCATCGTTATCATTGATTAATCAAAAATTTAATTTCTTATTTTCTCTGTGTTGATTTGCTATGAATGATAATATTCAGCTTATATGAACTGATACGGATAATTATGATAAATTCTGGTTTAAAAGCTAATTTTTATAGATTCCAGTGGACTCCGGGACTGCAAATTGCTATGCAATTAATCATTTGATCATTTATCAAGATATTAAATGTTTTGGCAGCTAATTCAAAGCAAGCCGACTGTGTGCTTTCATTTTAGGATAAAGTTTATTTCTGTCTTACGTCTGATTCGAACTGTTTTTTTTGCTCACAGTTAACGATATGATGGTCAACTTTTCCTTCCGGAACTTTCAAAACTAAGTAACACTTTATTATCAGTTGCAAGAGTGATAATTATTTTGATTGCATTGTCTTACGCCTCAAATTATTATCACGTCCTTGTATTTTATAATTGTATTTACTTTGGAAAATTTTGAAATTGGATAGAAATTTTGCTTCATATATTTACACATTTCCGCTTCCTTCCCTTAACTTATCACGCAATTTCACTTCCTTCCTGCGACTTATCACGCAATTTCCGCCTCTTTTCCGTGACATTTACAAGATAATGTTAAGGAGCCAAAAATGCTTTTTATCTCTTATCTTTTATCTCTTAAGAGAGAACGAAATATTTTATTTATTTTATGCGATGAATAATTTTCCATCTGAGGGTATCGTATTTCTGGTAATTATTCAATAATCACTTCTATAGCTTGATAAGCAAGCTTTACAGAAATATTGATGATTATTTAAGATCATATGATTTTCAGGTTCACAGTGAAACATTTATTTTTATTTTGTTGCTTTCCGTTCTTAATTATCGCATTGTTTAAAGTCTCATTCCGGTTAGTAGCAAAAATAAAAACTCAAATGAGAACTGAAATGAGAATAATTGAAATTTTGGCAACAATGATTTTAACCATTTCAATGCAACACTTTATTAATCTAAAGGAACAATTTAAAGAAAGGATTTGGGAAAGAAAAAGAGAGAGAGAGGGAGAAAGGGAGAGAAAGAGAGTTGATTAAAAAGGATTTAATGAGGTGCTTTGAATATTATTATTATTATTATTATTATAATACTTATTAATGACTAATTATCCGATCACACAATCTGTTCTTCACTTTTATTATTGCAGTCTTTTCTTTAACAAATTCCTCCCTGTTAGCATTTAAATTATCACTGTTAGTTTTTTCGTTTTGTTTTGTCGGCAAATTTCATCAATTATGAATCCTTCACTCTATATCATCGTTATCATCGTTATTATTGTCATTATCATTATTCTTATTAATAATAATTATCATTATTATTATTTGCTTAATTTGTTTTTTAATTTAAAAAAATTATTCGAGATAGCAGCCAAATTCCTTATCATACAAAATCATTTATGTTTTGAAAATATTTGAAAGATGAGATGACCAAACAAGATAGCTATATTTAGATTACATTTCAATAGTATTAAAAGAGATAACCGTAAAGGATTGTTATATTTAGGTTACGATCACTTGGAATAGCCATATTAGGGTTGCATTCGAATTGTGATAGTCAGTTTCATTGAATTGATGTAATAATTTTTTATTACTTTTTTCTTCTAAGAATAGGCCTTATCACTTTTAGTAATTAGCATACCTTGATGATACATATTAGTAAAATATGAATAAAAGATTAAGCATAAGTTAATATATCTATTTCATATAATTTCAGTTGCGTAAATGAAGAAAATTCTTCAATTCTCCTAATTATCCATCGAATGCTTTAACTGATCTCTCTTAGCATCTTTTAACAACTGATTATAATAAATTTTGTATCTTTTCAAAATTCTTAATTACTAAAATTTTTAAGTGAAAAATGTTTGACAAAATTTTAAGAAATGAGTCATGCATTGGAATTGAAACAGAGACCACGGAAGCAAAAGTTTAAAGAGAAGGCATTTTCCTGGATGTTTATGTCCAACATTAAAATTTCCTCTTATGTTCTTGATAATGATTTCGTTTTTCTTTTCCATCATACCCGTTGGGATTTCAATTTGATTAGTCAAAATTGGGAAATGCTTTCTGAAGGAATTTGTTGATTGGATATATACGTACTTTAATAGTTTTATGTTCAATTAACCTAATATTTTGTGTATGTAAGTTAGGAAGAAACGATGAAGAAGTTGAGTGTACCTACATAATTGGTGAGAAGGATTCAGATAGGATAAATAGGCCTTGTTATGATGTCTCTGTTGGTTTTAAAATATCAGATAAATTGTTTCGCGTTGATGAGGAGAATTTTACTTCATCATACTTCGTTACTTCTTACCACTGAAATTTAGTTATTCCTTTACTAGAAGTCATTTTTAAGAATGTAAATTTCTTAGATAAATGAAACATTGAGTCAGCATTTGATTTTCAAATTTAAATGTTCAATAAAATAAAATACGTTTAAAACAAACATTAATCAACTGATCAGCTGTCAGATCAGTTCTCTCGCCTCATCTCTCTAATTTAATCGTTAAAATAATTCTGGAATAACAGAGCTCAGTTCACTTATTAACAAGCTAAACTTAGTTTCTAATATAACAATTAAGAAGACATAAAGAAATAGACAAGACAAAAGTTAGGCGACTTCTGTACATTACACCTAAGTGGTTAATTTAAGTTTATGATTTTCTTTTCAGCTTACAATTTTTGCATATTACCTTTACAGTTTGCAAATTCTTTTTTTAACCGAAATTTTAGAGAGAGAGCGAAAATTGTAGAAAAAGTAGTTAGTGTGAAGTGTACAACTATTTCACCAATAATATATCGTGAAGAAATTTAAAATATCAAACAAAAGTTTAAATAACTTTTCTACTTATTTTCGCTTATTGGTTTTACTATAACATAACATACCGCAATCTTATTATAGCTAGAAAGATTAAAGAAATTAAAAATATAAGCAAAAAATAATATATTTTGACTTAAGGCCTTTGTTAGAGGCAGATGTTAGAGGCATTCCATTTAGAATTCAGCAAAGTTGAATTTCATTTTAACTTCCTTTCTGTCATAATCGATCGATAAAAGATGATAATTACTGCAATTAACGGATAAATGATACATAATGTGGCAAAGTATCGCATCCTGTACCAAAGGAAAAGTAATATATGAATTTTGCTCTGATCTTTTAATTTCAGTCAATTTTCTTATTCAACTTAAAAGTAAGCTTATAGTATAAAACTTAGCAGGCGATATATTAAACCGCAAAGGAATTATGATAAAATTTTCACTTCTTCATTTAACATTCTCAAAATTTGTTGGCATTAGAGAGAGAGTAAACTTTACTTTGTTATTATCTTTTGTTTTTACTATCGAAAAGAAAAACAATCAAATGAATGATTTAAAGATTTTCAACAACTGAAAAAATATTTATAATAAATGCATGTAAAAAGAATGAACGGAAGGGAAAGAAAGTTAGCGATCTTCTTTTCCTGACTTTTCCAATTAAAATTTATCCATTTGCGCTCATAAAGTAGACATATGGAATAAATGTTCGATGATTATTTTGTCCACCAACTTTACCATATGTATTTTATTGCACTGATTACTATAATTATTATTATTGCTGTTACTATCTATTATCACTGATAATATTGGTAATATCCTCTTTTCCTTTCATGTTCAAATATATCGTTGGTTATTATCATTTCTTTAGGCCTATAAAAAAAATCAATTTAGTATGAAAGAAAAAAGAAGAAAATTAATAAATATTGATTTGAAGCAATTTATAGTTAATTAAAATTTTGATATGAATATTTTGATAACCTGTTTTAAAATATATTATGAGATAACAGTGACAGAAAAGGAAAACGATGAAAATGAAAGATATGGACTGACTGATAAATTGAAGAATGAGATGAGAAAAGGTTAAAGGTATAATTTGGCGGACATCACAAAAGAATCGAGGTTAAAAAAAGTGAAAAATCAATGAAATGATATTTAACCAGAAAATAAAAGATACAAATTGACTGGCGAAATGTCAAAGATAGTTCTTTCTACACGGCAGAAAGACAATTTGACGCTTGCATGAACAACTGAAATTTTTGAATATTTTTTCATCTTGATCGGAGTTCTCTCTCCTTCTCTCTTCCACCTTCGAATTTGCAAATTTTTAATTGCTAATAACTAATACTTTTTTTTGCAGGATGTACCATCGAAACATTACAGCACGATGCTGAAAGATGACGTTTGCGCTGAGGATGTCGATTTGGGAAGGCCTTGCCTGTCGGTGAATTGCAAATGTTGTGGTTTCAAGCCTCATCCTTGGAGGTCAGTTGTTTATTTCTACTGTTGCTTTTCCGAATTACTAAAAACTGTCACAATTGAATTTTTAATCATGCACCAGGTAGTCTGTTTTATGTTGGCTTTCTGAATGGCCAGATGAATGAAGGTGGTGCTAAGTGGACTTTACTAGATTGTCTTATTAATTGTTTAATCCTTAAATGAATAATCCTTCAACGTTGCACTTCTGCTATCACTAGTTTTTTTTCTTCCTTTTAGCAATTTAAGATTTATTTATAACATTTAGCTACTTAGATAGATATTACTGAATCAATAATGGATATACTTAATTAGCTTTCTAAAAATTATGAAATTACTTTATTGTTATTGTCTTTTTGTAATTATGTAATTTATAGTTTAAACATATCTCTACAATCTTCTTCAAAACCAGTATATTTTCTATAAAATCTTTCATTTGCTTCGTTATTTATTTGAAATTTTTATAACAAAATAACAATACATAATATCAACTAATATAACGGAATGAATCAGTACCATTTCTGATTTGTGATTTAAACTTTCCAATATAAAGTAGTGGTGGTGATAGTAATAGTAGCTGTAGTAGTAGTAGTAGTAGTGAAAAGATTATAGATATCAAATGTAGATGAAAATTGGAAATATGTGATGGCTGGTTGCTAAGCTTTAGCCTAAGCCAAGAAAGAGAGTATGTGTATGGTAACTATGCAAAATCAATGCCTCTATCCGTCATAATTGAATGGTAAGAGCCAAGCTTATTAAAGTTCCTCAGATGCTAATTTTAGAGTCGTCCCTTTTTGATTCATTTTGAATATCTGTTGCCATAGACATATTATATCAAAACATGCCCGTAAAAAATTGCTGCTAATATAGAAAGATGAGCTCAACAGGAAATAAACTTTCTTAATTATCCGGATTTTATGTTATCATCCGGTCAGTATAGTATAATTCTTATTATTATGCGTATTTCTCTTAAGTTCTCCGTAATGCTTGCTACAATTTCATATAACTTATAAGCATCTTCAATATTTTCTGAATCTTAACTTTCCAAAAGAGTCTGACTGATTGTAAAATTAGTTCAATGAAATAGTTTTAAGTTAAATTTTGATTCATTTTTAGCTAAAATAAGTTTGATGAAAATTGATTTGTTTATAATTTTTGCTAATTGCATAAAATATGAAAAATTTTGCTTCGTTAATATTACAATAAATTCAGTAATTATTTGCAACCATACTTTCATTACTTTTTGTTTTAAAAATTACCATCCTGAAATTATGGTTGGTAACATAAAATTTATCTTTGCTCAATAAGTAAGCATAAGTAAATGTACTGTATTTCCAAAGCAATAAATCTCTTTCTATCGTAAGCTTTTATAATTACTATCATAAAAGATATTCAATAATTTATGCTTCATTTCTTCGTGAACTATACATTTATAATTTTATTTTAAATTCTAAAATTGCTTTCATATAAGGAAGCCATTGAAAAATGCTAACAATTAATGTTTACTCTTCCGAATTCAAACAAAATTTCTTTCATACTTAAAATTTGAAGCTTTTCACGCGTACTAATACAAATGATATATATCATTTTGATATAATTCAAACCAAAAAATTAGCATATCTCTTCTGCTTGTTAATTTACTATTTTCCAAAGGAATTACTTCATGAATAATTACAATAAATTTCCTAATAGTGCTGCAATTGTCAAAAATGAATTTGATATTATTTTAACCTTCTCATATACCATTTATCCGATCATTCGTTGTGCTATGAAAATTTTAGATCGTTAAATAATAACATAGTTCCTATGATTTTATTTGCATTGAATGTCTTTTGATATTAATTGCTGTCATTATTAGTGGTGGTGGAAAATGTTATTTTTTGAAAAATGGGTAGACATTTGAAAGCTCGTTTGAAGATAAGTAAATTTTATGGATTTAAAATTTAAAATGAATTTAAAAATTGTATCGATTAATTTTTAACATATTGAATATATCGGATATTAAAAAAAGAAAAATTTATTCCATTCATTAATTGCAATTCATTAATTTGTTTTTGTTCAAGCAGAAAGTTTTTAGTGGCGGAAAAAAGAAACGAATTTGATGTATCGAATAAAGAAAAGAAAAGAAATGAGATAAGACAAATCTATTATATTAGAATTAGTTTGAATTTTTGAATTAAATTAGAATAATTTCTTTTTTACTTATTCATTCAAATGAATGAACGATTTCCATCAGTAATTCAATAATTAATTCAAAATTAATTTACATTGTTTTTTAAATTATACAAAGGTAATCAAGTTGATAATTTCATAAAGAAATTACGAATAGTTTGAAAGAGAAAATTAAAAGAAGAGAATAGAGAAGCCTAAAAATTAATGTACTTCTTACTATCCAGCATAATGCTGCAATTAATTTACCACTTCATTGCACATATATTTTTGGCTTCATTCTTAGATTTCCTTTATGTTCTCAAAAATTACTGTTGGCCACATTCATATATTTAATCATATAAATAATATGATATATGTTAACAGATTTTAGTTTATGGAATGAATTTTTCTAGGAAGAATAAAACTAAGCAATACTTTCACATTCACAAACATCCCACTTTGTGAAGTCACGATGGGACATAAATTTTTTTTAAAGAACAATTTTCAGTCTCTTTCCATTTCTAAATGATGTAGCATTCCGAATTTATTTCATCGAACTCTTCCATCCTTAATAAAATCTCTCTGATTACTATCACAATTGCTTACGATTCATTTGTTCATTTGTTTCTGATAACTGAGAATTCTGATTTTTATCAAATTCCATTATTACAATTTCTGAATTTTTTTCGTGAAATCAACATTTACAATCATAAATTTCTCATATTATCATAAATGATCTCAATATCTTCCCAAATGGGAAAGCAATTCTCACAATTATGTACAAATGTTGAAAGTTTAAAATAACTTGTAAAACTTGTGATACATATGAAATGGCCACAAACCTAAATGATAATGATAATGATAATGATAACATCTGGCTTAATAGGTTGTTTTGAAATTGCTGATTGTTATTACACGCAAATAACAAAGTAAGCATAAAGCAGCAACTTCTATCCAAACAACACTTAACATATTGCAACATTTTCTTTTATCATTATCAAAGATTGCTTCATTTCAAAAAACTTCATGCTAACGGCATGCAACCAGATGTTCTATTCTACTTCATATTCTTTCTCCTCTTCTTCCTTTTTATCATAATATAATTGTTATCACCAATTATACTTTCATCATTTCACCTTTCACAATTCATTCTTCTTAACATTTTACTATTATTATTTATATTAATGATTAATTATTATTCATAATCAGGGTGCTCATTCATACAACTACTCTACATCGATGTTTTCCGACATTGCTGTGTATGTTTTATTTACTTTACTCTTTTTTATCATTTAAGCCTTTCATTTTCTTTCTTAAAAATTGATCACTAAAAATTTCAGAACGAGCGTTTTCTTTTTGTTTTCTAAAATTATTTTTGATATAAATTTTTTTTTAATATCAGTGCTTATCAATTATTACAACTGTTATGATAGCCTTTTAATAGAACAATGATTTGAAATTTGAGTTTTTTAAAATATGCTATGGGCTAAATTTTAAGTTTTTAATTCTTTTCATTGACTAAAAATTGATATTAACTTTATGGACGAATTTCATTTCTTTTTTTGTTGAATTGATTGAAATTTTTTCGAAGGCACTCTCACAACATAACATAACATAACAGTATTCAATGAAAATAGATTAAAAATAATGCATTTTAATAGGGATAGTGCTGGCTTTAATTATCCGTGGCTGAAGGAAGGAAAGGAAAGGATAGAATTGGGTACAGCCGTGCAAAGGCTGTTGGATTGGAACATCACTTTAAGTTTAATTGGTTTCCATCTGCGCTAATGTCATCCAAAAAAACTGATTTAAAGTTTAAAGCTGCCACGATATTTCCCGCACCTTTACAGCCATTTTATTTCATTCTAAAATTTGTTTTCTTTTTTTACTTCTGAAAAAATTTTTAAAAAAATTGGATTGTTTTCTTTTTTTTTAAATACTAACCTTTTTTGTATTACATTTTTTTTCTCATTAAAGTAAATTAATTCGATTAATTTAAATAAATTTTAAATTCCTGAATTTTGAACTCTAACTTTTACCCAATTAATTTATGTTAAATTTGACTTTTTTTTTCTCCCTTAAAAGACACCGCAAGATATTTACTTCGTGGAAACCATTTATGATAAATATAATTTACTCTGTCCCTTTAAAAGTTCAATTCAAGGGAAATAAGTAATAATCTCATTGTTATTCCCGGGGGTTTTACTATTTTATTGCTATTTCATATACTTATATTTACTAATTAATTCTGTTTGTTTGTTAGGAATTGCAGACAAATATTTTTCGATGCTTATTTTGCATAAATCCTTTTTAGAGTGAAAAGGAAGGAATTTGGATTTATAGCGGTCCGCCATTTTAGATTTTTAGCTTAAATTCAATTTAAAAACTGATTCAGGAATTTATATCGATTCCAATATAAATAAATCTATTTGGGAAATATATAATTTAAATTTTTTAAAATAATTATATCGTTATCACTGTCCAAATCTCCCCTAACTAGGAAGTGAAGTTTAAGGATAATGTGAAGCTTATGCCAATATATATATATATGAACAAGTTGGTATATAGATCTTAAATATATTTAGTTGGCTTGGCATACATATTCATTTAGTATTTATCTTTCGATTTTATTTCATTGATTTAAACTATTTTAGAAATAATAAATCAAGACTTGAGAAACTGAAATTTTTTAAAAATCCTTAATTTATGCACTCAGAAAAAGTCACTTACAGACCATTTCCTAAATTTGAAATTCATGCCTTTCCATTGATAAAATATTTTAAATGATTCGCTGATTAAATTGATACTTTAAATTTAATATATTAATAATTAGATGGCTTAATTGCGTTACATTTAGCATATTCATTAGTGAGCAGTTGCATAGGAAATATACATTTCATTTTGCTTTTCTTGTGATAATAAATATAGCAAAATGCATTTTTTGCTTTTTCATCTCTGCAGATTATTTCATATTTACAATGGTTCATTGATTCTGCCAGAATTACTAAAATTGCTTCCATTCAGATCTTTCAATTTTTTTGCTTTTGGAAAATTTGGTTATGAATAAAATTTAATGGGTCGAATAAAAGAAAACAGCTGCAGAATTTCTCAGAGTTACAAATTTCAAGTTTTTTTTTCGTGGCAGCCAAAGCGAAAAAGGAAGAAATATAATGTTACTATGATATCATTGTTGATAATCAAATGAAATTGATAAAGATAGTTTATTATCTTTGTTATTCTATTCTTCTAACTAAGATAGATTGAAAAAAGAGAGAAAAAAAGTTGATTATAACAAAAGAAACAGAAAGGATAAATATTTGATTTGACAATTATCACCAGAAATGTTGAAAATATAGCAAATAATTATTCTTTTAATCACTCCATAAAAGTAATGATTAAATGATATTAAAATTTTTACTGTTTAAAAGCAAAAGTCTGTTAAAGCATAAAATTTAAAATTTTTTAAATAAAATAATTCTTAAATTAACTAAACATTAATTTTCGTAAATTTCAATTTCATGCATGATCTTTTTTTGATTAAATTATAATTGAATTTTTAAGCAATATTTTTTGAAATTCGGAAAGTATCTTTTTTTTGGGGTAGATAATTCTTCTCTGACCTCTCAAATGACCACTCAAACATATAATATATCGATTTCATTTCCCTTATACCATCTAGCGGATCTGTGGGAATAAGTAATTTATTTACCTTGACGGTGTTTTTCTATGTTAAATAGATAAGTAATAAAATGAACATAATATCTGTTCCAGGAAAGTTTGCGTTCATTGCAAGTGTGATCGTACGGATCACCAAGCAACTTCACGTAATCGTAATCTTACTGCTTCTAAACGTATCGGAATATCGTCACCATGTATGATTTTGATACAAGATGACTTATAATTTGCTTGCTTATAGGTCAAAATAGTTATGAATTATCAGAATGATAAGTTAGTAACTTAGTGATCATATATAGTTTGATCAGTACGCATTTTATATTTTCATTGTATGCTACGTGCTTTAAAAGTAAATTAAAACTATTTTATTTACTATTCATAAATAACCTTTTGGTTTATTTGATAACCCTATTTATTATTATTATTATTATTATTATTATTATTATTATTATTAATTAATATTATTATTATTTATTATTATCAGTTCATTTTATCTTAACATTTTATCTTAACTTATCTTAAGTGATTGTGTAACAAACTGAGTGATTTCATGGGCACATATCAAAGATCATTTATTTTAAGCACTTTATCCAACCACTATTTGCTTGGCAATATATTTCTCTCATTACTAATATTTCAGCAAAAACATCATCAATGGCATTGGCACAAATTACTGATGGTCCTGATGCCCCGGGTTCTATAACTCATGGTTATTCATGGGTACCACCAGGACTTAATCGTCATAAGGTTCACATTGAAATTTCTTTTACTCATTCGGAATTTTATTCAAAAAGTTATACCAATAGCAAAAATAGAAAGCGAAAAAGTAACAATACAACAAACTTTTCATAACATCTTTTTATTATTTGAGGTGGAGGAATATATGGCACAACTACCAAATCATGTCGTCCCGCGGGTTAATAGTAATGGTGAGAAGTTTCGTGAAAGGCAACTTATGTTACAGGTCAATTATGTTTTGAATTCTCTACAATGTGTGATAATCCATTGATCATCATTTGATCACATATGTGAAATAATATATTCCAATTAATTGACATCCAATATGAATAAGTTCTTATTCACTCATACATATTATTTCAGTTACCGCGACAGGATTTATCATTGGCATATTGTAAACATCTTTCAAATAATGTTGAAAGGAAACTTTATGAAGAATTTATCAATGCACGAAATGAAATTGCTTTGGACATTGGCTTCGTCTGTCCAATTATCCCAAAACAAATGGTCTTTCCTTCCTTTATTATTCATACAATTCACTCATTAATATAGCAGAAATGCAGAAAAATAGAAAAAAAATTTTGCACACAAAATAATTATCAGTTATTAGTTATCAGTTATCAGTCGCATATATTTTTTCAATATTTCTTTCAATGTCTTATTTGAATTACATAATTTTAATATGTTTTATTTTGTTGAGCAATATTCGAAATTGAAATCAAAAATAGCAGATTTAAAATTACAAAAAAAGTGGGTGGAAATAGTAATTGATATTCATTTTGTTGTTGTGCACAAAATGTTTAAACATTTGCAAATAATAGTTAAAAGTTAAGGGAGGTATTATGCAATCTTCATCTCAATAAGCAGTGATAGAAGAAGAGATGTCCTAGTGAACTTTCAAAACTTCGTTTCATTGCGCATCGGTCAAATATGCGCTCTCATCCCAAATTCAGAGAATAAACTAGTTTTCATCAATCTCATAATCGATTATCATTCTTATCAATTCTTTAATATACTATAAAATTTTAGTCTTAGCTTTCTTTACTTTACAAATTTATTCTCTTTAAATTAATTAATGAATAAATTACGAAAAGTTTTGAAAGACCCATGTTTTATCTCTTTTTTAAAATTCTTTTTCTTCATACCAGTTACAGAAAATCGAATAGAAATGTTTAAATTTAAAATGATATAAAATGCAGGAGTGTAAGAAATGCCGTGGGGTATTGGAAAGGAACGAAATGGCTGTAATAGCACCAAAATTAGGTGAAAATAGTGGCTGGCATCCAGCTTGCTTCACGTGTGCTACGTGTGAGCAGGTATTGTGATCTTTCCTATCACAGTTCAAATTTTTAAATTAGTTTAATAGCTTTATTTTTTTAGTGAATTTATTAAGAAAATATTTATTAATACTTATCTTCTCTGCCAATTAATCCTTCTAAATTAAGAAATATGAATGATAGACAATTATTTTGTAAATATTTGTCAGAATTTGGTTTAAATCTGAATTTCACAATGTACAAAGCTTCTTATCATTTAAATGAAAAGAAAAAGAGAAACAAAAGAATTTTTTCTTTCTAACAAAAAAATAAATTTTGTTTTTTGAAATTTCTTAATTATATACAGACTTTAGAAAAATCAGATTTTCCCCGACGATATTATTTACAGCTTTTGATCGATTTGACGTATTGCATCAAAGACGGTGTCATCTACTGTGAGCGACATTACGCTGAACTTCATAAACCACGTTGTAATGCTTGTGATGAAGTAAGTATTTTTTATTATTCACCAATTTTAGATTTTTAAAATTAGATCATTATTGCTTTTAACAATTAAAAAATGAATGAAATTGTTGTAATTGAAGATTCATACGAACTTCTTTTTGATTAATGTAAATATTCGAAGGGAAAGTTTTCAGAATTTTAAAGCTTAGGAAGAAAGAATGAATGAAATAGCTGATTGTTATCAAAAATTAATGATAATTACTGATTACTAAAACTGAGTAAAATCTTATTTGTTGTGGGATGGAAATTTAAAGAAAATTTTTTTAATACTTAAATCTTTTATTGTTGCGCAATTTTCCTTTTATATATTTTTGTTTCTGATAATTTTTGTAGTTTAGAAATTAAAGAGATTGTAAGAATAATTTAGAAAAGGGAGATAGGAGGAATGGAATAAATGATGAGATAATGTGAGTGATATATGATACGATAATATCTTCGAAGGCAACATTGTTTCAATCTTAAACTCGATCGATTCTTCTTCAAACATTCATTTTTTTTAAGCTTGTTTATATCTCATAATTCTTATCTTCTCAAAATTCCTTCAAGTATTTTAGACTTTAAGTTATTTAAATTAATTATTTCCAGATCAAAGAACATTTTTTTATTTTTTATGATTAGATTTTTGAATTAATTTTTACTGAAAGTTTTATTTAACTATCAAAATTTCATTTAACATTAATTTTATTTTAAATATTTCATTGTAATTTGAGTAGCAAAACTATTACAAACATTAATTCATTCCTTAGTTCTTATTCTGAATGAAAATGATAAGGATTGATTAGTTTTATAGAATGAGTGATAATTTTTTTATCACTTCAATTCATACGGTATAATTTGAAAGCATATATTTAAGGGAAACAGTAAAATTTAATATTAGTTTGTGAAATTTATGCAATTGCTGATTTTGTGTAGGAAGTAAATAATGGAAGGAGGATTTGCTCAGTGATTGGCCTAAAAGATAGTAGGTTTGATTACTTTTATTTGCATCTATGTTATATATCGTTGATATGTTGATATGTTGAACTATTGCTATAGATATAGTTGATATATATTTGCTTGAAACAATTGTCAAGGAAAATGGAATCATCCTTCATCCTCCTCTCATCATATCACATTATATTTCTTATGCTTTCTTAGTTTTTTCTTTCTTTAAAATTTTCTCATATATTGTTGTTGTTGTTGTTATAAATGTTTAATGTGTAATAGGCCATTCTAGGCACTTTTAGTTTTTTTCTTATCGCAATAATAAAAGAGGAAACTAAATTGAGCCAGCTTTATTACTTAGGCTTCTTCTTTTATTTTCAACTTCTCTTTTAGCATTTCTTCTTCCTATCATTCATTACTTATTATATTTTAATTTTTAACATTTCATAACAATAATTATAAAGCTGATCCTAAGCCTGCCTTGTCGCATAATCCAATTCTAATAAATAACAATCTTATGAATCATCAAAAATAAAAATGAGAGAGAAAAAGAAATTAACATTTCGAAAGAGTAAAAAAATTTTTTTGACGCACAAACTTCTTTGGTGACAGCAATGCTGCTTTGTTTAAAATCTCTTTTGATTAGTTCCAAAATTCAAAACAAAAATGATGACAAATCTTCTCAATTTTTAATTTTCTAAATTTCTCACTAATTCATAACTTTAATATAAAAATAGCAAACGATTGATTAATTCTTAGCAATGCTAAATTTTTTCATCCAATCTTTGCAAAAATTGAATTATTCCGAAATTGGAATTGAATAAGAAAATGTTATAAATTAGAATTTATAAAAGATTTTATTATTTATCCCTTTGTATTATAAAATGTTGAAAATATTTAATGCTACCAGCAATTCTCAATTTCTATTTTCAGACATTAAATGAATTCCTATATGTATTCTATTTATTAATTAAAATTAATATTCATTGCCTTCCTTTTATTTATAATAAAAATAAATTATTGTGTAAAATGGACTGTTTTTATAATTCAAGAAATTTTACACTAAAATAATAATTAGTCTGATATGTATGTTAATATAGTCTGATTTATATATTTATCATTGAGATCAATTTTTGAATGATATCATTTAATTTGTGATTACAAAAGACAAAAGGACTTTTACTTATGTTTCCTTAGAAATTATAAGATGAGAGAGATTTCGAATGAATGCTCCAAAAATTTGTTATTTTTGATTTATTTGTTAGCAATTTTTAACTGAATCATTGCTAACAATTGTCTTCATATGAAAATTTTGTGGTGAAATTTTAAAGTTTTAAACTAATAGCAATCCCAGTTTTAACATCAGAGGTCAATGGATCAGCGTTAGCAACTTTCTACACACTTGCAGATTGCAGAAATGATGTTATTCCATCTCATAGTGAAGTAAAACAATAATTATGATAGATAAGTTGAATGATTCATGGAATGAACTTATTAATTTATATTTATGTATTCTGCAATTACAAAATATCGCAAAAAAAAATGACATTCTTAGGTATTTTGTACTCCTGAGGATACTCAGTGTCGCTATTATCTTGATGGATTGCTACTCTCAAGAGATTTAGAAATTGCTAATTTGCAAGATAATTTCTTCCTCTCTTAAGAGACAATCTTTGCGTTACTTTTTTATAACCTAACATATCTCAAGTTATTTCGGTTTTAATTTTAATTTCATGTGAAGATTTCTGGAATGAGTTAACAGTAAAAAAATGAAATCACTCTGTGTAAAATTTTATGTCTTTCTTCTGATATATAAGAAATAATTAAAAGACGGAATTATGTGTTACGGTAGAGAAGAAAAAAGAAGTATCGAAGGAACATAATGGCACTAAGATTTCTTGTATAGTTGAAAGTTGTTGAAGTATTCAGTTGTATTAAGTCTTTCATATATCTCATTCATATTCAACTTAGAAAGAAAACATTTTCAGAATTTTCTGCCGTATTCTTGTCTACGTTCGAAATAAAATAACTGATAATCATTGTTAAAAATTTTAAGAAAGAAAAATTACAAAAGTTTAAAATACAATGAGAATGAAAGATTAAAATTTTGCAGGCCAATATAATAATTAATATATTAATAATTTAGAAATTAAATAGTAATAATAAAATGGAAATTATTTGAACTGAATAAATTAATTGAAACAAATACATATTTCAAGCAGAAAAAATCATAATAGAAATAAATTGGAAATTGAATTCCTATACCTTAACTGATAAATGAACTGAGAGAAAACATCAATGAATTGATTAGAAATTATATTAAAATCAAGTTAAATTATATAGTATCAAAATACTGACTAATTGAATTCGATCTTCTATTGATAATAATTGATTAGAGTGATAAGACGTGTGTGCAGACGTGCGTCTCTCTTTCTCTCTCTCTCTCTCTGTGTATTTTTTAGGAATGGAAGATGAGAAATGGACTAAAAGTATATTTAAAGATTGCCCACATAAAAATAAAAAGAAGGATATAAGCCAAGAAGAAGGAAGCTTTACAGGAAATAAAGGAATTATGCGATATCATCTTATCATCCATCCAGCTATCTATTTATTCCATCTTTTCTCCTTCAGTCTTTTCTGCTTTCCATTTGAGGTGTTCATATAATTAATTCATCGCATCTTCCTATCTCTCTTTCCGTCTATTTTTCTACCTATCTAGCTGTCTATATATCCATTTATCTATTTATCAAGCTAAAGCTAATTAGGTTTAAAGCGAAGCATTTGGTGTTTTACCATTATGACTCTATTCCTATTCCTATCTTATCTTATCCATTCGGCATGCTCTATTTTCTGACCGGAAAAATTTTTTGCATTTTTCGTTGTTAGTATTATTCTTTTTTTGGAAATTAAAAGTAATAAAATGAGGGATAGATGAATAGATAAATGGACTTTTCGGCATAACCCAACTTCTAATGTGATTAAGATGGAAGTGTCTCCGGATATTTTCCATCTCAACATAAAATGAAATGAAACGCACTACTGTCAGTTGGTGATATAGTTGATTGGGATGGTGGTAAATGATGCTGTTTTCAGTAGTTTTTTTCAGATCAAAATAGATTGAGTTGGATGAATGGATGAATGGATGAATGAATGAATGGATGAATGAATGAATGGATGAATGAATGGATGATGAATGGATGAATAGGATGGATGGCTGTTACGGATCGTTTCTTCCCGTAACACATACACTTTTCTTTTCTTTCTTTTCTTCCTGTGCTTTTTTCATTTCTTCTACAAAGTTTCAACGAAATGTTCACTTAGCTATATGTATGCTATATCTATTATATATTTTCGATTTTTCTTCTCAAGACTATTTTTTTTTGCAATTTTGGAAGATTTTTGGTTTCTTTAGATTTTGAAAAGAAAAGATACACTAAAAGTTGCTTTGTAAGATTTATGATATTCAGAAGGAAAAGACAGAAATTATGGCTTCAATGATTCTTTATGGTTTCATAGGCTAATGAATGAATGTATTACTATTTTCTTACCTTTCTTTCGGCTAAAAGAGAACTTCTCTTTTACTTTCTTGCTTTCCTAAGCCTAACATCTTATAGTATATCAAAAGCTTTATTAATATTATCAGCTATATATATACTTCATAGATGAATTTATATACACTTTGGTTTTTACAATTGAATGAAGCAAAATTTTCACAATCTGAAAATGTTAAAGATAATTATTTATGGAAAGGAAAATTGGCTATGTAATCTAAAGACAAAAATTTGCAAATCAATTGCTTATTAATTAATTAGAAAGTAATATTGAAAACTTACTAATAGGGGTTTTTTTTTCTCTTAAACAAAAATTGATAATAATCTATGATAATTTTAGTAGAAGTTTATATATACTATATTTATGTGCTATTATATTCTCATATTGGTTTTCTTATCTTTTGTTGTCTGAAGAAATAATCAAAATAAGCAAATCAAAAAATGGATAGCATTTGTGACAAAGCGCTGTCAGGATCTTTCATTCTTTTTTTCATTTCATCTTTTTCAATTTTCATTTTTTACATCTACAAAGTAATCGCCACTTGCA